TCCGCTCGGGTTTAAGGAGTTAAAAGTATCTATTAGTTTTTCACTTCTAGCGCCTCTTACAACCTGCAACTCGGCAAGTTTTCGTACGCGGAAACTTACTCCTTTGCGTTCGAATTACCGCAGACGCAATTAATTTTCTGTATTACACTCTGATTATCTGATATTTATGGTATTATTAATAATAGGGAACTTCTTATCATTTTTACATTTAGGCACTATACGGAGTAATAGTTAATATCATTTGTAAAGTTACACGGTATCAAAGTTGAAACAATACGTATCCTTGACTGCAGATTCAGTTAAAACATTAAAGAATATTGACTTCAGGAGTGATCATAAGTGTGGCATAAACCAACTCAACACTATTCGTTTGTTTTTCAAATCTGTAACGTTTTGAAGATAGAATGAAAAGTTTATATATCTAACAAAGTATTGCTCGCTTTTTCAAAGGAGTAGAATTATACTAGCTTTAAGTACTGTAATACGATAGCTACCACAACATTTTAAACTTTTAAGTCACTGCGTACTACTGAAGTGGGACATGGAACACTACGCTAAAGTTCGGGAATGTAAGGAATGTGGCGAAACCGACAACTGACACGATAACTGTAATTACTGCCTACCAGCTCTGTATTACTTACATATCTAAAATACATGTAGCAACCATTAACCTATGCAAGCACGTGGACGTAAACATTATAAACCAATACAGGTATCTCATTTACAACCATGAGAAATACTTGAGCAAATAGGCTTTTACAGTGTAACGTTGTAATGTATGGTGTTTGATATCTATCCTGACCAAAAGCTTATCGTAATACATCAACATAGATTTATTCCTGGAGAATACAGGTTCGAAAATCTAATTCATCCCCATTTTTCACTCCTTTACCGGGGGATGGGGGTTGGCCTTGTGGTTAGAGCTCTAGATTTTTTTAGCTGGCGAGCAGAGTTCGAATCCGTGCAATACACAAATAAATTCTTCTACACTCTAAACCTTAACTTTGTTATAAGGGTGACAACCAATCCTTTAGTATGTGTGTGGTAGGGTGCTGTTGATTGGCTGCCTTCACTCTGGTCAATAGTTAAAGATTAAGGATGGCGGCCAATAGCCTTAGTAGCTTTGACATAAATACAAAATAAATTCCTCCACCATTTTATTATTATTATTATTTAGTTGTTGATTTTCCCTATGAGAGGGCAGCGTAGTCAGACCTTTACAAATATTTCGCGGTTTATCACAAGTATCGCCACTGTAGAGGAACTTTTTCATTTATTTTCGTATGTCAAAGGTTGATAAATTAATTATTATATAAAGCTTTATAAATGTCATTTTATGAATACCATATTTCAATGATCAAGTATCATACAATTATTACTTGATTGTTAAAAAAGGGCAGTTTTCTTGTGTTTTATCACACTACATAATACTGATATAATGTCTTTAGATTACTATATATATTAGGGCTACTGTGTGTAGAAGTTGTTTACCAAAAATTTATATTTAGAAAATTACACAAATAAAAACTGAATTACGAGTAACATACGTATTCTCAGTTACCTTATTTCACTCTTCAATTTCTGCGCATATCAATATTTCTCAATTGAAAAACACATTTAACAATGTATAATCCCATCTTATGCAAAACAGAGAAAGTTTAACTAGGCTGAATAATCTCAACTTTATTAGCAAGGTACGATTTTGTTCTGCTCATACACACTATAAGATAAGCTTATAAGATAAGCTCCAACAAAAACATACTGCGCGTGCAGTAGAGTTCGGTGTGTTTCAGCAGATTCTGATATCTGAAATCTTGAACAGTTTTGTGGTGGTTTGATTTACAGTTTTTAATTATATAGGATATCCATAATGTCTGGAACCATAGGCACTTCAACGTATTTTACAGAATGTGTTCCACATACTGTCCTTGTTATTTAAAACAAGTTTGAATTAACACCATGGTTTGACTCGACCTTCTCATGCTTTGACAGCGCCGTAATTAGTCACACATCTGACATTAAGAAAAACTGCAAATCGGCAATAACTCAAATAATCAGTCCACGCCTGATCCAGTGTTTCGTGTTAGCCTGTAAATCCAAGGGTTCATGGTACGCGTCGCGTTGTAGTAAAAAAACGAGCTTCATACTTTGGGGCTGTGGGTGTGTTATAAGAATTACGGTCAGACCATATTAATCCAAGAGTTGGCGGTGGGTGCTGTTTATCTTTGTCCTTCTATCTTATCAGTTCAAAATTAGGGATGAACGCGTGTAGATAATTCTTGTGTAGTACAGAACTAAAATTCTAAAAGAAACAAACAAACTTCCAAGACAGTAAAACTAATTTATTTACAGGTTGCTTAGAACATACTATCAGTATTTTGCTATTTCTTAATAATAATTTAGTTATAGAGTCTTCATAAAATTATACTGTACAATATCATAATTGATTCGTGCTTTCGTGTTGGCGTTTTCATTGTTAACATGCACGAGTATTCCAGTATATATATGTTATGTATAGAACCTTTCAAGTGTTTTTATGAAACTGGGAGGTGACTCATTGAGGAATGATAACTTCATATTTCTTCGAAGATATGCGAAAAATTAAACCGTTCTTCTAAGACTTTTTAAAAATAATTTTCTTAATTTCTTTATATTTATTTTTACTAGGGGTGTGGCGATACAGCGATACGATACGAGTATCGTACCGTGAAGCCGTGATACGATCGTATCGATACATCGTCCGATACGATTTATGTATCGTCACGAAATTTGACAAGCTTTCAGTAAACATTGTAAGCCTTTGTACAGAAAAAAATCAAAATTTCTAATAACGCATTTTTGCTAAAAATTAATATTTTAATATATGGAGTCAAAGTAGTCACTACTCCGAGTGTAAAGCGATTTTCATGTTAAGATAAAAATACTTTTCTACATCTAAAAATTAACATATTTCTTTTGTGTAATCTCTAAAATAAATTCCAATCTTTTTCTCCATATTTTAATTGCTATATTCACTACCATAATTTTATGTGAAGTCGGTCAGTATGACCAGCCTCCTAACCACCATAAAAAATACAAAATATATTAAAATTATTCGTTTTTTCATTCTAGAATTACTTCAAATTGTAGCAGGAAACTACATTTGCTTACACTAAATAACTTAAAGCTCTTAACATTATACATCTGTTTCTAATTAGATTTTATTGTCTAGACTGTCAAACTTTGTAACAAACCATTGGTAAAACTTCTGTATCTAGATTTTGTGAGTTTATATTTCAATTTTTATTAGTTTTCGATAAACCTTAGGATCCTTCTACATTAAACTATACATTAAAGAAAGGTACACCAGACATGGAAATAACTTTAAAACGTGTCACATTTTCAAGACTGCTATATGCTTTCTTTTCAATACCTTATACAGAGACACCCTCTGGTGAAAAATCAGGCCTAATTTTTACCCCTTTATTCAATTTTTATCGTGCTCAATCAGCATTGTTCTAAGCTTCTGGCTACGCTTTTTTGTTCCGTATTCTTCTATCTATATAAATATTCACAATATTGTTAAAATATCTCCAAATACTTTAAAACTATTTTTTGAATTCTTGAAATATAGGCATTTTAAAACTGTAACCCTCACTAGTAACTCCAAACTATCATAATTAGCTGGTTTTTCCGTAGAATTAACAAATGGCTCACTCACTGACTAATTGTAAAATAAAAACTTGATATTCAATTTGAAACATATGGTTAAATAGTAGCAAATTACTTGTTCTAAACTCCACAATTCAGCCAAATTAACACCCTGGTGAAGTTTTAAAATGTAATGCGTGCCTAGTTTTCCTCAGCTACTAAAATGTTTAAGCGAAAGTAAACGATCTTTGAAACGTAACACTGTTATACTAGGTAACAAGCCGATCTGAAACGCAAGATTTCAAAACGCAAACAAAACACTTGCAAATAAAATTCTCTCTCGGTACATTATGAATCTTCTTTTTTCACTAATAATACCGGTTCTCTAGCTTATCTTAATATTCTTTTCTCATATAGTCTAATAATTGATTTCTAAAGTTTTTCACAAGTTCTCTGTAACTTATTTTAGTCTTGGCGCTATACTTTCCTTCCAAAAACGAAATACTATACAAAATGTCACCCCTATCCGCTAAACTCTTAAAACATAATTAATACTTATTTAATTAAAGATTCTTCACAAAATTATACCGTAAATTCAACGTCATTTCTATAAAGAACAAAGAACAATCTTCTTATCAACGAAAACAATAAAGGTATAATTGATTAAATACATAAAATTTTCAATCCTCTACTAATCACTAAAACATGTCTGTATTGATAAAATTACTAACGTACAACGCTAAAATCTGAAATTCAATTCCCCACAGTGAATACAGTTGGAACTTAGCATATTTGTTTAACTCTAACGTTAAGAGTCATGCCAATTCAATTAGTTATTCTCTACTAAAATAAAGTAATTTTATATATTTTTGTTTAATCAAGGTATATGAAAGGAAAGTTATCTTACCATAATTTTCTATTAAAAAAGTTAATTTTTCTTTACATACTTGTAATATTTTATCAGACCGCTCGCGAAACTGGATACTTATTAAATATGTTGCCAAAGTATCATGCTTGCGAGTGTTTAACATGGCCTGTATTATTAATATTATTCTCAATGATGTTGCATACAGCTTCTATTGTTATTTCAGCTTATCAAAACCTCTTGGAACAATTTATTTTTCCTGTTTCTCAAGAATTATTGCACTCCCTACCGAAAACTCTTGCATGCAATAATGTCGAAAAACTCACACACAAAATGCTTTGCAAAAAAAAGCGTTACCTTAGTTTTAAAAAGAAGAAGAGGAATTAACAATGAAACGTGTATAAAAATCGGGATTACATAATCAGATTCATCTAGTAGATGTACAATCACACTAGAGAGATTATACGTCACACATACACACTTTACTAGCACATTTCAACCTTACCCTGCTTCGCACAAAATCCAGCCAGGTTTCATATAACTCTGATAGTTAGTTCATTGGTTTCTCGAACAAGTGTAGTCCTTAAAAACAGGTGGAAGACTAGTTGGTGAACTATTAAAATATTTAAAAATTGTCCCCATATAATAATATTATACATCTCGCTCCATAACACCAGTAGGCTAAGGGGCGGAATCGATGTAAGCCTACTTTACAGAAAGATAAAACCCTGAATTATAGACTAAGATTATCTCTGACAACTGCAACTACTGCTGATAGCGTGCCTAACAAGAATTACGTGCAATCACGTGCCATATTTTTCGCTCGTTTGAATTTGTACCGCTGCTAATTTAATTCCGAACAAAACGTCCATAATGAAGCACGAAAAATAAAGGATTGGATCACTTTGTTTTTGAAACAGTAATGCTAAGAATTTAAAAATTAGGATTACATCAAAGAAACAGAAACTATAATAGTAGATCATTTTTAAGCAGACGACATTCAAAGTAGTAACGCTAAGTGGTGACCCCGTGTGTTTAAAATACAAACCAATCCTAAACATGTTTCTTTTTTTGTGGAAACAAATAAAACCGAGAAGTACATCAAGAAATAGATTTATTCTAATTTACATATATATATATATACATATACGAATATGTACTTTAAATATTCTGGTCGTTTTTTGTGTTTTTTACACCTGCTTTCTTCTTACTTTTATTAATATAATTGTGCGGTCAGATGTTGTACCTGATGATGACAAAACCTTGTCGAAACGTTGTACATTTGCTGTTAAACTTATATTAAAGTTTTTCTTCATTATCCATTCAAGCCGTCTCCAAGCATTATTAGATGTTTTAGCTATTCGAGTTTATAGCTACTACCAGCAGATACCAGTTGAAATAATTCAACAGTAATTTTCCTAAAAATAGTGATGAATAATTATAAAATGTGCAGTTAACCTAATCCCTTGTATGTGCAATATGACTGTCTAGTGGGCCGTTTACAACCATCTTTAGTCATTCCTTATGTTATTTCAATAAGGATAATCGCATTGTGTTTCTTTTAAAGCAAAAGTTTCTTTGTAGTTAAGCGCAAAGCTACACAATAGGCTATATGTGTTGTGCCCACCATCGGTATCAAAACACGGTTTCTAGGATATTAGTCCGCAGATTTATTGCTGTGCACTGGAAGGCTTTTAAACAAAGAATACTAAATACAGTGCAAAAAGTTTTGTTTTTCGATGTAATGGGTGCCTCCAGCACATTAGAGCGTTCAGTTTCACTAAGTAGTTGCTGGGATCTTTTTCCTCTGGATGCCACCGTTTCTAGTCATTTTACTGAATGCAAGAAAAGACCGCTACCGAAATGAGAGGTTTTTGACAGTTAGCATTTATATATGAAGTGTTAAAGAGAAGATGTTTCATTAAATTAAAATCAATATATTCGACATGATACAATAACATCATGCATGTATATAATACCGACATGAATATACATACATATATATATATATATTGTTACGTCTCCGTTTGTTAATTAATTTTCTGTAACTTCTTTCCGACTAAACTTGAGCGACACAAGTCCTTTCTTAATCAAACTGGTTTATTCTTTCTGAATATAACTTTACCGATACACTTATTTTCAACAGTCGCTCTATAACAATCACTATAACGAACTTCAACAATACTTTCTGACTGCAGATCAATTACTCACTACCTACACACACATTGTTTTCGTCACGTTGTGACCATCTTATATATACCAGACTACCCTATATCTAGTAATCTCCCGACAATTCACGAAGGTTCGAGAGAAGTGGCGTGACGCTAGTCACGTGACCTTGCTGACGCAACACTGGCCCTCCTTAATATTGTTCGTCCCGAACAATAACCACATACAATAAACCAATAACAATTAACAATAACTTAATTAATTGTACAAAATTACAATCACAAAATTACAATTCAACAAAGTCTCTTAACCAACATCGAAGAAGAAACTCTACTCAGTTTTGAGAAGGGAAACGATGAAGCTCTTGATGAAGTTACTACCACTGATGTGACTGTTACCGATGATAGGACATTTACTGATGAAGCAGATGAACCCCACATGAAGCAGAAGCCAACGAGACGGAGACCAGTACGGAAGAAGATACGTCCCGTAAAACTATTTTAGGTGACACCTCTTCAGCAGTGTCATTTACTTTGTTATTCACTTTGTTCCAACTGAATTGTCCTCGACTGTAATAATGCCAAAGCCTTTTGGCATGAACCACCTTTGGCTTACCTCGCCGACCACATTTTATTCGGAAAGTCACGTCTGAGAGACGTTCTACAATATCATATGGGCC